ACTTTAGGTAATTCTGGTTTCACTCGTCGTACATTGAACGTTACACACATTGATCAGATTTGCAATACTGAAACATGTGATTGAAACACTGCAGGCCGAGCTGGCAGAGACAAGGGAGACGCAAGCGCACCTGACCGCAGAGCTGGAGGCCACGAAGAAGCATATGGCGGACATGTATCAGATCATGCAAACCATCGGGCAAGCATCGGGTGTCCAAGTGCAGTTGCCAGCTCCAGCTCCGGTTCGACACTTCACTCCTGTGAGTATGAAAGTTTAATGCGTTCGCGCCGTTGTGATTGTCGGCCTTTGTGCAGTTGTGATTTTCGGCCTTCGTGCCGTTGGGATTGTCGGCCTTTGTGCCGTTGTTTCTTGCAGGTTGGAAACCTCCCCGTGTAGGGGAGGTGCTGCCGAAATTTTCAATTTTGTGTCTAACACATGCAATCTCTTCTCTTTTGTGCAGCCTCCGTCGGCGGGTTCAAACAATCCCGCTAGCGTGTCACCGGCGGCTGATCGTGTCAACCCTTCGCCGCAGTCCGGTCCTTCACCGCTATCCAGGGGGCCACACCTGCAGTCTCCGTCGCCATAGTAGGGATGTTGAACTTTGTGATGTTGAACTTGTAATAATAAACTTGTGATGTTGAACTTTGGTGCATTTGTGATGGATTTTCTATGGATTTATTAAATATGCGTGTGCTTGTGATATATAATGCATGTTGGTGATATAGATGTGATGATTGATGTATGTATATGTGTGTGTGTATATATATATATTGTCTGTTACAATGGAATGTAAAAAAATTGCAATTCTCGGGGTCTTTGTCGAGTGCCATGGGCAAGGCACTCGACAATGATTTTTCAAAAAAAAAATTCTTTGTCGAGTGCCTCGCCGCGGCACTCGGCAAAGTATTTTTTTTAAAAAATCCAGAAATTCTTTGCCGAGTGCCTAAACAGGGACACTCGGCAAAGAAATTATTTAAAAAAAAACTTTGCCGAGTTCCTGGGCAGGGGCACTCGGCAAAGTAATTTTTTAAAAAAAATAAAAAAAACTTTGTCGAGTGCCTGGGCAGGGGCACTCGGCAAAGTACTTTTTAAAAAAAATAAAAAAAAACTTTGCCGAGTGCCTGGGCTGGGGCACTCGGCAAAGTAATTTTTTAAAAAAAAATAATTTTTTTTGCCGAGTGTTGGGTCGGGCACTCGGCAAAATAACCGTTAACGGCCGGCACGCAACGGCCGAAAATATTTTGCCGAGTGCCGCCCCAAGCACTCGGCAAAATTGTTTTTTATTTTGCCGAGTGCCCCGATAAAAAGCACTCAGCAAAGACCCTTTGCCGAGAAAAATTTTGCCGAGCGGACTTTGCCGAGTGCTAGACTCGGCAAAGTCTTTGCCGAGTGCAAAGGGCTCTTTGCCGAGTGTAAAAACACTGGGCAAAGCCGCGGCCTCCAGTAGTGTATGATCACATATTCGATATACATACGCTTCATCTGGCCATATACACCCTAAATCTTGAGATACAAACATGATAGTGGCTACACCTCGGATTAAAAAGAAATTTACATATATAGAAGTACCGTTCTATAGCTGGCTATATAGAATGACTTATTCTATGGCCACTTTGAATTGCCATAATTACTATACAGATTTGAGTTATATATATATGTGTATACATGTATATACATGCATATACATGTATATATGTTTGTGTGCTATATTTTATTACCGTGTATAAATAACCCCTAACCCTAGTTCCATTCATTTCTTTCATCAATAGAAATATAGCATCACATGGATAATGTGAAAAATAAGAGAAATAAGAAATGTGTAATAAACATAGAGTTGCAAAAGAACCTAATTAGCTTATGCTGACTTTTATGCTCACCTAATAGAGCAATAACAGTCATTGGAATTATGGGACGACGTTCCTCTCCTCTTCGGAATAAATTGAGGTGTAGCCTCCGTCTGTGTCAATGCATGTGCTACCACTTGGACAATGATATCTTTGTGGATATTGGCATTCCTTGATATCTGTATATAGTTGTGATAATCACAAAAATTTCTTTCGTCAACAACACAATAATTTGAGCAATAATCACATGTATAAGGTAAATGGAAAATATAGGAAATAAAGCGGTAAAATCTTGAAATTCTTTTTGATTAAAGAAAACACGAAGTATGGTTTAGAGAATTGACAAGGAAATAAACCACCTAAGACTTCCAAAATTCCAAAAAATAATCCCACCTATTAAAATGAAAATTTTAATCTAGTTGTTGCTAGTTTAGAAATTTGGTTACTAGCTAGAGTATATCTGTAGCTTTGAACCTCCAAATAAGTACTCTCTCCTGTTCCCTAAAGAATGTCGTTTTGAGGTTATCTTAAGTCAAACATTTTAAACATTAACTATAAATAAATTCTTATGGGTTGAGTTTGAAAAATATGAAAGTGATGTAAGTAGATTCATCTCAAAATGTAGTTTCATAAAAGTTATATATTGACTATATTTTATAAATATTTTATAGCAAAACGTAATGGTCAAAGTTGTTTTTTGAGACCGTGTCGCTGTCCAAAACGATATTATTTAGGAAACCAGAGGGAGCAATAAGTCTAGAGTTGGGTTCTTAACTTTTAGTGAAGTAATGTTATTTTATTTTCAAAGTCAACTAATAGTCCATCAACTTGTGCTCGCGCATCGGACAAGAATCTTAGGAGATGTAAGCGTTAGTTATTGTTAAGTACCTCTGACTACTAAAGATTAGTTATGTCTGTGTTTATCAAAGAATTATATATAGTAAATTTATGCAATCAATATAGATATGTCAATATATTATTTAAAATGTATAATATACCTAAAGTAATAACTTATACAAATTATATGTCATAGTTATTTATAACTTAAATAATTTGTTATTATCGTTAGTATATATATTTTACTTATTATAGAAAGATACTTTTATGATTGCTGAAAAATGAGTTCATATGTTTAATAAACCATGAGTACTTCAAATTAATTTACCATTACCGAGTCAAAATGTATAAACAACTTATTTACAAGAAGAACTTATAAAATTTATTCTCGTGGAGTATTAATATACTTAAAGTGAATTATCAGTATCATTGTTATTTGCTTTGTGAGCCAAATATTTTTTCATGCTTCTATGCTATCAAAAAATTATCCTAATCGATACACAATTACTTGGTCTATATAGTCGAACATAATATTGTGCTTACCTTTAACTTCATAGCTATTGAAGTGTGTAATTTAGAGTTACGTAGCATCTTCTATGGATATTGATTTTTTCATGAAACTTATATTAGTATGTTTATGTACATTTGAGGGATTTTTTTATGATTATTGAGTTGGATAATTTAGAAACAAATTAAAATGTATTTTCTTTTCTAAATGCATATATGGCTAATTGGAATGCAAGTGTGGCGTGTTACTTTGCAGTATTTTTAATAATGACAAATAGAGATAATTTTAAGAAAATAGGTGGTTATTTTAAATTATCTTTTTATAATTGCAGTGGTGAGCAATTTAGATTGAACAATAGGGGGCTATTTAAATTATCTTCCATAATTGCAAAGCTTTGTATTTTAGATGTAAATTGTGGGTTTTTATTTTCAATCGTCTTTCATAAAGATAGAGGTGAGAAACTTAAATATAATTTTAGGGGGTTATTTTGAATTATCGACTTTCATAATGCCAAAGGTGGGTAATTTAGATGCTATTATTAGGAGTTACTTTACATATTTTCAGAATGATAGAGGTTAGTATTTTTATATAAAATAGAATGGATCCAAAGAATATTATTGATGACGATTATTACAGTCTACCAAATTAATGATTAGATGTTTTAATTACTCTATGAGAATATCTAGAATATAGTGCATATGGTGAGAATTAAGGCGCCATTGAAGCCTAAGATAAGATATAAGATCCATGTATCAAGACTACTTACTGGTGCATCCACCAACGACGTAGGGTTTACCCTCATAGCCTTGGGTACAATTGCAGAAGTACCCAGGGCCATTGGTTGAGTCGATGCACTCGCTGTGGTTGCTAAGGCAGGCATACTCATGATCAGTCTTGTTGGGTGCCTGAGCTAAGGTTGAAAACGGACCGAAAAAAACCCCGATCCGATCCATTTCGTTTTCTACTTTCTTCCGTCCGTTTTCGTATTTGTGGGATCCCGTTTCCGTATTTACGGAAACGGAAAAAGGGTTTTTCCGTCCGTTTCCGCGAGATCTCGTTTTTATCCAGAATTGACCCGTATTTATACCGTTTTTCATCCGGTTTTGAATCTATGTGAGATATGTCTAGAAATTGATATGTTCATAAACCTACTAATCACAAATTATGCATGTTAACGTGTTAACACATGGTATACTAGTGTGTATTTGACCAATAATTTCGTACGTGTATATTATTTTGTGACTTTGTTCATGTATACTGAAGAATATTTGATCATGTTATTCTAACTTATTTTTCCAGCTCTCCGTCCGTATTTGTCTGTTTCCGTATTTTCGTATATCTCCATCCATTTTTAATTCCGTTTTTTTCCCGAACCTGATTCCGTTTCCGCTAGAAATATAGAAACGGAAATGGGAGAGGAGTTTTTCCGCCCGTTTCCGTCCGTTTTCATCCCTAGCCTGAGCACAGGAGATGGAAGTCGTCGATCCGTTGTCGCGGATGGCCCAGTCCAGGCGCAGCGGCATGGTCCAGTCCAAGCGCAGCGGGATGGTCTGGTTACTCGGCACGCGCGTCGTCAGGTCGGATGCCTCGAAGTTGTAGCTGCCCTTCTCTACGATGAAGGCGTAGTCGCAGAGGCAGAACTCCTGGTCGGCGTGCGGCCAGTCAGACCAGGTCATGCTGGTGTGCGTGATGCCTGGCGGGATGTCGACGCGGCAGCAGCCTAGGCCCGCGCAGGCACCATCACGGGGATCCGTTTTGTCATGGGTGACGGTGATGCATCCCGTGTAGTACTTGTAACGGAAGCGACCGTCTTACACCCTCACGCCATTGGTGTAGGCATAGGTGTTGCAGCCGAGGACGAAGAGCCCATTCTGTGTGTTGGAGATGCGATACACGCCCTCTCTGTTGAAGTCGACATCACCGGAGTAGCCGCCAGTGATGTATCCGGTGGAGTTGAAGCACTGCCATGCCACCGGAAGAAGCACTCGAGCCTCTGGAAATGGTGACACGGACAGGTTCAGCACCCGGATGTTCTGGTCAGGCGTAGGTAGCACGGGAATCTCGCCGGCGCTGCCGTTGTTGATGCAGTCGATCTCGAACCCTTTGCGGGAGCAGATGGTGCCGATGCCGAATGGGTATGGTATCTCCACGTCTCCGCAGAGAGCCCGGTCTCGCATCAGGGAGGCTGTCTGCGGTGGCTTCCTTTGCTGCAAGGAGCAGCACAAGCAACAGGAGTGATGACATCGGTGGCTTTGCCGAGTGATCACTGGATTTTTTGTTTCTCGTTTGATGCGTGGTATGTATCCCCGAGGTTAGTCTCCAGGGGTTTAAATCAATGTTTTAAATAGCGGCTAAGGTGTTTAGCGATATATCTCTAATTAAAACAGCTAATAGCGGCGTCCTGTCAGGGGCTGCGGACTGGGCGCAGCAACACCAGCTAGGCGGAACCCGCGGCTTTTTTCTGGGTGTGGAACAGGAGTGGGTATGGGCACGGCAGTCTACAGTCCGCACCCACAGGCCATAGTTCACACGCCTAGCAGTACACGCTGCAGCCGCAGCACTAGTAGATGGAATGGCGGTGCCTGCCTCTTCTGTGTCCTCTTTCTTATCTCTCTCTCTTCCGTGATTCCTGAGACAAAGCCACAGAGAAGCAGCGCAGACGTCCATGCTCGGCGCCAGAGTTTGTGGCGCCGAGGTATCGGACACGTAGGATTTTATTCTGTGCACGGCCAGATACCTCGGCGCCAAGATCTGTGGCGCCAAGACGTGTTACCTCGGCGTCAGGACTCATGGCGCCGACCCCTAGGGTCAAAGATGAGTTTAAGTCTCTCAGGGGGCTAAATATAAATTTTATTTAAAAAAAAGGTTAAATAGTAAAAAATTAGGTTAGTGACCCGTCTGTTTCGCAGAATATTTGCAAAAAGCCCCGTTGCGTGGAGTAGCTGGGGCGGGGTCGTGGTCTCGTGGGACGACAGCTTGGGCCCGTGCTCCCAGAAATCGACGATGTGTTGTAGAATGCGTCTTCTCCCAGCGTCATCCCGCGCAGACCCTACGAAAGCGAAAAATCATCCTTGCGCGCGCTTTCTCACCGCTCTCTGTCCCAGACCAGAAGCAGGCCATAGAGGTGCTGAGAAGATGGCTGTAGTGGCCGGCCGTCCAATGGTGTGGCTATGGCACGGCGGCAGTGCAATCCAGAGGCACATACAAATCGACTGGTCTAGTTAAACTACAAGCTTACTAAGGGCACGTACAACGCGGTTTAGTGACCCGTCTGTTTCGCAGAATATTTGCAAAAAGCCCCATCGCGTGGAGTAGCTGGGGCGGGGTCGTGGTCTCGTGGGACGACAGCTTGGGCCCGTGCTCCCAGAAATCGACGATGTGTTGTAGAATGCGTCTTCTCCCAGCGTCATCCCGCGCAGACCCTACGAAAGCGAAAAATCATCCTTGCGCGCGCTTTCTCACCGCTCTCTGTCCCAGACCAGAAGCACGCCATAGAGGTGCTGAGAAGTGAGAAGATGGCTGTAGTGGCCGGCCGTCCAATTGTGTGGCTACGGCACGGCGGCAGCATTGCAATCCAGAGGCACGGCAGAGGCGCCGCTGCCCGTCCCGGCTGGCCATAGCGCCCGTTCCGGCCGGCGTTCCCCGTGCGTTCGTGACGTGCGTTCGTAATCTGTTTGACCAAAGAGCTGATGGGAAGAATAGGAAGAAGTGGAGGGTTTCTCATCAGAAAATGAAAATGCAACAACAATATAAGGAGAAATAAATAATGAAAGCTGATATCCGGTTTATGTAAAGTTCAGGGTTTCCAATACAAAGTAGTTTATTAGCTTCTTCCTTTATCCTGCTGCCAGAATTACTAGTCTATAAAACATTATAATTATATTCAACTTAATTATGCTTGATTTGTTTTGTATCAACAAGCAACACACTGGTATATATGGATCATATTCATACTTGACCGTGGCTACATACAAGTATTAAATAACTTGTAGACAGCTAAATAGATAGCCCATTGTATAAACAGTCTATTTAGTTTTATGTGTAGATTCCAAAAACTTACAGATATCCTGATGTCTGTGGGTTGTACGTGCCCTAAGCTTCGCAGTTGTTTGCTAGTGTAATCGAGCTCGACCGACCCGGCTGTGGATTCTACATATCTCCTACAACTAAAAATAACACAATGTGGACATTTTTTGTGTGACATTTGTTTTGATTCGTTCATCTACCCACGCCTACGATCCCACGACATCTTAATTACTGATTGATTGTGCCATTTTCCTATTGAATATTGCCTGTCATGTGATAAAGGAATCACAGTAAAATAGGAAGTAGAAATTATTGTGCTATCCATATACACATTGCATGTTTGCATGCACCAGCATACATGGCAACGAGCAAAAGGAAAGAGAATTAACATAGAAGAAAAGAGAATTAAGACAAAAAGAACTTCTTTGCATTTCTGAGAACCTTGCCAAATCTGACTATATTTAATTACTTCCCCTCTTTGCATTTACAAAAGGGACAGCTTTTTTCTCCTTTCATTTGGTTTTCACGCTCATGTGTTCCATCGCCCTCGCTTGTTGTTTCTTGCGTGAACCATAGTTGATGTCATCTGTCTTCCATGACTCAGCCTCCCAATCCCAAGAGAAGGTCTCTACCTCTCCTTGACTGGAGATCTGGTCTGCCAGAGGATCTCCTCGAGTCCATCGGGCAGCGTCTCGCGTCAGGCCACGACGCGGCGTCCTTCCGATCCGCTTGCTCCCCATGGCACGCCGCCGTCCCGTTCGCGACCTTCGGGCCACTCCTGATTCTCCGGTCCGACCCCGACTCAGACCGCGTCAGCTTCTACTGCGTCCCGGAGAAGGTCTTGTCCAAGACGCTGCCCGACGTGCGCGGCAAGGTGGCGTGTGGCTCCTCGTGTGGGTGGCTGGCGCTCATGGACGAGGCGGTGTCCGTGACGCTGCTGAATCCATTCGCCGGTGCCCGTGCCCCCCGTGTTGAGCTCCCGCCAGCAGGTGAACACGTCGCGGCGGCGTCCTCATCGGAACACGTGTCTAGGGTCCAGGCCTGTGGGTCCTCCATCCCACCAACGGCTACGGGGGACGCGGATGCCGCAGGCAGAGCCATCAAGCTAGAAGACATGAGAGACATGTTCTTCTGTGAGATCGTGCTCTCGGCGCCGCCTGACGCCGCCAGCCGCGAGTGCGTGGCCATGGCCATGTTTGGGTGCTCCACGGAGGTCATGTTCTGCCGGGTTGGAGTCGACAACGCATGGACGCTGCTCGACACCAAACTGGAGTTCTCCGTAGGGTCCGTCTTCCACTGCTAAGACAAGTTCTTGGCGATCGACTGCACTGGAGAAATCTCCGTCTACAGCAGCAGCGCCGTCGGCGCTACTCCAACCGCGATGCCGCTGCCATCGCTGTCGCCACCTGCGGGGCTCTGCCACCGCAACTACCTAGAATCAAACGGTGAGCTACACATTGTGGGTGCCATGGTGAGCACGTTCCATGAGACACAGAGCTTCACCTACAGCAGCGCGATCTACAAGTGCAACCTCCACGACCGTACGCCAGAGTGGTCCAGGGTGAGGGACACCGGTGATCAGACACTGTTCATGTCTAAACATTTTAACGAAAGCTTCAGTAGAACAAGTGTATCCAAGTGCAAGGAGAACAAAATCTACATGTCTGAGCCATTGTATGGGGATCCATACGACTTGGTCCATCGACTGGAGATCGTTGATATTGCTACCGGCGCATCCGAAGTGAAGCCCATCCAGGAAAAGATGCAGGGTTCCGAGGCTCTAGGTTGGATTCAACCCAATCTCTGGAAGCTCTAGAGTTTGTGAGCCTGCGACGCCGCGCACTCCGTGACTGTGTTAAATTCATAAACTTTGCTTTTTGGATTAAATGTCGCTTTAACGTTGGTATTTAATTTAACAGTATTGTTATCTTATCTTACAATCTGTGTGATTTTAGTATAAATTGTTAGTTATCCCATAGCAACGCACGGGTACGCTACCTACTTTATTTAAAGGGTCGTGCTAGAGACTGCTATTTAATTTGTATTATTTAATAACGTGGAAAAAATAATAGAGTACTAGATCTCGTTTGATACGGTAGTACACTACTGGACCTTATATTATTTAAATACTAGCCAATATATTTGTACGTTGTAACCAAACATTCAGCTTTTGTTGCATCGGAACATTCACCTTGTTGTATAGTTAGTTACCTGGACAATGTATGGCTCGTAGAGTTACGCAGTCACATGTCTCAATTCGTCTGAAAATTGAACACTGTATCGCGCCTGGACGCATGCTCCTCTAACCCAATGCTTATAGGAGGTTTAGTGATAGCACGGGAAACTCCAGTGAGCTGAAGCGAGCCGTATCGCTTGAGCCCGCCATGGCGAAGATGGTGGAAAAGTGGGCCATTCGATGACCAAAACGTGAACGTACAGCGTCTTCCCCACGGACGGCGCCAACTGTCGGTGCAGAAAATGACCAACACGTAAATATTTGTAGTTTTGCCGTATGTTGTGATCGGATGTGGCCTAGCACTCAATGACACAGGGTTTATACTGGTTCAGGCAATATACCCTACGTCCAGTTTGAGTCAGTCGGTAACTTTATTCCTGAGCCCAAGTGCTCGAAGTTTGCTGTGGAGTTACAAACAAGATGGAGTAAGATGGGGGATGCAAGAGGTCCGGTCGAACTCTGGTCTGAAGGGCTGAGAGTGACGGGAGCTCCTACGTGTGCTGAGTGTTCGAGCATGTGCTTTGTGTAGCTTTAGAGTGTCTAAAGCTAACAGAGAGTGAATCTAAGTGATATGTCTGTTGTTCATTGAATCGTCGAAGAGTCGTGTGTGTTCGAGTTGTCTGAATCGACCGTCCTTATTGGGAGAGAGCGCATCCCCTTTTATAAATGAAGGGGATGGCCTTACAAGTGAAAAAGGGAGACAGAGAGAATGTGCATATGCTACTAAGTCTTGTTGCCCACGCCGTCAAGTACAAGATGATTTTAGACGCTCACAACACTGTTCGTGTCAGACGCATGTGGGAGGTTTTATCGCATTCACCATGTATGGCAAATGACGGCGCCCACAACACTTTTGATGCCCAGAGACATGTGGGGAGTCTTACCGTGTTAGCCTGGTATGGAAATTGATGGCGC